CATCCCGGCTTCGGGTGGACCCCGGGGACGTGTGAGCCGGTGGGGGAAGCGCAGAGCTGCCCTGCAGCAGCGCCAGGAAGAGCTCCGTGGGGTTAGACGGGGGGGGACAGGAGCATCACCCCCCCGTGCCCCTGGGACACCCCCACACCAGCTCTGCCTGCCCCACAGGCCGGGTTTTGCTGATGGCATATTTAACATTCATTGTTCAGAGACAGAAAAGAACATGCAGGCGTGGTCCAGTGTTTGGCTTTTATTGAGACATGATTTTCCTCTTTTCATATAACTTATCTAATTAAAATATTCATCTTAGTTACCACAAAAAAGGAACATAGAAAATTGTATATACACAGTTAGGGACCAAAATACAAATGCAAGTCCAAGTCACTCCCTCTCCTGCTCCTGTTACTCATCCCACCGCTGGCAGGGCAGCGAAGGGGGATGAGGCAGCTCTGCTCAGTTCCTTCGTGTAGTGTTGCACAGAAACATTGCACAAGAGTAACACCCCGGGCACTGCGAGACTGGCAACGGAGCAAGCGCTTTACCCCTAGACTTTGCTTAGTTTGTGTCTTATGGCAGTGACCATCCTCTCCTCCCTGCTGAGGGCTGGTACCCAGCTCTTCTGGCTGCACGGTTTCAGTGTCTGAGCAAAAGCAAATGGAGGGAAGGGAGAGCGGCTGGCATTGGCCCCAGTACCAGTGGGACCCACTAGGCCCAGAGCAGAGTAAAGTGAGACCCAGTCTGATCCTCTCTGTACCCCCCTCCCTGCCATCCAGCTAAGCTGAAATACAGACACAGTGGGCAAAGCCTAGAGCAAAACGCCTGCTCCAAGAGGGAAGGTACATCACCCCGTAACAGCAATGCTTTGGGCGGTACCCACAGCTGAGTATCTCGCCGGACGATTAATTAAACGGCAGTTTAGCAGTGCCCAAGATTGTTCTTGGGCTTCACACCAATTCTTTGCTCAAGACTCCACTGCGGCCTGAACACCATGCCACACTCCCCTTCCTTCTGCCCCTACCCCAAGTACAGAGGAGAAATAAATGGTAGCACAACAGTCAGCAGAAGAGAATATATTGTTATCTAATTAAAAATCCAGCAAAATTAAATACAGCAAAAATGCCAGAGTAAGGAGCCATTATTTGACAGCACAACACACACTGAAATGCTGCATGGTGACATTAAAGCATTGGGACTGTAACAAAACTTACAGCACAAGAGTCTGAGAACATTCTTCCAAGACCTTCAAAATAACAAAAGAACAAATAAACCAGAGACAGGTGTTCAAAATGGTTTAAAATTTAAAAACAAACAAACAACAAAAGAGATAAAAAGAAAGAAACCAACAGGAACCAGAAGCATACAGGGATTTTTCCAGAGCCCTCCAGGGAGGGCTCTTCACAGCAACATTTCCCCCGGTCAGTGTGCACAGACAACTCCACCGGCTGGGGATTTGGCAGCCACAGAAAGGCAGCAGCAGAGCTTCTCAAAAGCTGCCACCAACAGCATCTATCACCAGAACCTTTTCCACCTCAACAGCAAAGTCCTAGGGCAGCAAATATGGCTTGGAACAGGAGAACCTCTCCCCTTTCTGATCCAGTCACACCTCCGAGCGCTAACAGAGGCCGTCTCCCTCGCCACATGACCTGGGTCTAACCAGCTCCATCCTCTGCTTGCACCACCTCTGGGAACGTTCGCTTTCAAGGCAGATGTAACCCACAAGCAGAAACGTTCACAATACGCTTCACATTTAATAGCGAGTGCCTAGCTGTGTCTGGCTCCTCACTCTGCTGCAGCCTCAGCGAATCCACCCGAAATCACACACCTCATGAACACGCCGGCTCGCTGACCTCCCCAGAGGAGCGATGCTCCAGGGCACTTCCTCACACTTCCACCAACCCCAGCATCCCAGTCCACTGGGTCACATCGCACACCCCTTCCTTCCAGAGCTCCAGTTCCTCAGACACTAAGTACAACCAAGCTTTTTGAACTCCTGCTATGTAGTATGCACACCTTAAAAACAAACCACATTCCGTTATTCACTTCCCGCCAACCCCAGTCAAGTGGTTTCAGGTTCAAAGATTAAAATCCTTGCTTTTTCCAAAGAGGAGGCAAAGGAAAACATACAGGGAGAAGACAGGATTTAAGCACCAGCTTCCAAACTGGAAATAAATCCTTCCCAATTCCACACAGAAAACAAGATAAAAGCATTACTTCTTTCCACTAAAAGAGGCAACCTGATGCCTTCACTGATATTTAAAAACTGTTTTTAACTTCAGAGGCAAAGTCCCCTCTCTCTCTCTCTCAAAAAAAATAAAAGTTAAAATCTGATGGGGCACAGTAAAATTTCTCCCAAAACCCCTCATAGCTTTATTCCCAGTAGCCAACAGAAAACAACAGCAGCAGAGAAAAAGTTCCCAATGCCTCTTGGCGTCCCTGCACAACAACCTAAGCATCTGTACAAGATCTCCAGTAACAGCAGAGAGAGGTTAAGAGCTATGATTTTATTAACATACGTGAGTAGAGAGCAAAGCCTCAGGACTTGATGCGCTTGCCAAAGGATGGACGAGCAGATGGGCCACCGGTCCTACCTGTCCCAGAGAGTCCAGGTGGGACTTTGGGCCCAGCAGGTACCAGATCACGAGGAAAGACTCTGTGACACCCAGTGTCTACTCAGACAGATGGATTCCTGCCAGCTCAAGTCACAGAGAAGCCGGCCCTTGTACTAGACTGCGACAGGGGAGACTACTGGGAGCAACATAAATAATACCAGCCAGGTAGAGGGGCAAAATATTAATTAAAACCATTTTATAATTTATTAAGAGGTTAAATAGTAAATAGTCTCTGGATCTTCCACTCTCAGCAGGCGCCAAGACTTCACATTTTCTTGTGTTGGGAGATTCTGTACACCCTTCTTTTGACAGATGACAAAGCCAGAAACGACGTTAAGGGCAGGGGGAAAAGAGGAGGGCTTGACACTGAGAAAGGGACCAGAATAAAAGATAAAATACTGTGCTGTCGTCTTATGCAGATCGAAGATTCTCTCAGCAGCTGCAGCCTTCGCAGGGTTCAAAGAAAAGGGTTGTTTGGGTACCTTCTCCCCCACGAGAAGGAAAATCCCAGATCTACACTGCAAACTTATCTCCGAGAGAACCTGTTTTTGAAAGCTTTGATAGTCTTTGCCATCATGGGTGCAATTTCTGCAACAGAGAAATGGGAAAAAAAAAATCAAACAAAAAACCCCACATATTAAAGCAGCAGTCACAAACTAGGGGAGCAGAGAGCAATTCAAAGCTGCAGCCCCAGAAAAGCAGATGCAAGGCAGGCGTAAGTTCTGCGGTTGGTACTTACTCTTCACTGGTGGTTTCCTGGGGTCGTAGGAGGAGAAGGTGCTACCTGAAGATGGGACAGAATGGGCGCTGCTCGTGCTGGGCCCATCATAGGACTGCTCCTCGCTCGCACGGGCGTGCCTTTTGCTAGATGCATACAGGACTGGTTTTATTCTGAAACAGAGACAGGACAGACATTTCAGGAAGGAGTCACTGCGGTTTGATGCAATTCCTCACGCACAAGCCGCATTTCCTAACAGCAGCATGGCTGATACCACATGGAACCAGCAGCGACCAGCATCTCCACACTTCCCAGCAAGAAAGAAGCTATTACAGGTACAAGTTCCACTGCACTGCAAAAGTACCTCCCGGACACACAGGTATCCTTTCCCGCCAGGACACAGAGCTTCAGGCTGGCAGGAGCCCACAGGAAAAGAGGTCCTGAACAGCAAGTGCTACTGAGAAACACTCACTTGGTCTTCTCTGGCATCAGAGGTCCTCCAGTTCCAAACTTCTCTTGTCTCCTTCGTACATCCCGAGGGGGCTTTGCTGCAGAGTTCACAAAGGCCATTTTGGCCACTCTACCTGTAGGAGGCCAGAGGGAAACACTGCTTAGACCCAGCTTATTATAAAGGAGGCTCCTCAGTGCTTGTCTTATTACAGCAAGCTCCAACCTCCACTCCCCAGTCCATCCATTCCAAAGGCCACCACAAAGAACAGAGAGTTAAGCAAATCCTAAACGGGACTAGATTTAAACCAGCCACTCCAAAAGACCTTCCCTCAAAGAAGACACTTCCTAGGCAGCGTTCCCCAACTCCTCTCTGATCATTCAGCCATACTTTACCTTTGGGTTTGTTGGCATGAGCTGAGCCGATGTTCCGTGCTAACATCAGCAGCCGCTGCTCTCGCGCGTCGTGCAGTCGAAGGTACATCTCCCGCCAGGACTCAAACTCTTCTGGCTTGTCGTTCTTGAAGTCTCGGAGACAGTGATTGTGCCACAGTTGATCTGTTTCCTCAATGAGGGTCTGAAACAAACCCACACGTCAGCTGGGATCCCTCCTGACACCTTCACCCCCCTCTCCCTCAGCTGCAGCTCGCGCCAGCGCCACTGGACTGTCACAGAGGGCAAGACAGCTTAGGGGCCAGCAAGAGATGGGCAGACGGCAAATCCAGGAACTCGGAAAAAGCAAGAGCCACCTCTTGTTGAAAATAACATTGTTCTCTACTATTCTGCTAGTGCAAACGAGGACAGAACAGCACTACTACGAGTCCCCATCCCTTCCCCAGGCCGAGGCACTCACATGGTTACATTCCTCAATGCGATACAGCTGCTCTGGGGTGCATCTCTCCAACACTGGCTCCAGCACAGAGAAAGGGACACCACCCACTTCATAGATGGCTAGAGAGAAGCAACATGCACAGAGTATTTATCCTGCTCCTTCCTTGCCAAGGAAAGGGTCTGATACCCTGAAATGCAGCGAGAAAAAGCAGCAGCGCTGCGCCCCACTACGGGGGAGGGAGAAAGGAACTGTAGGTGCAATAACTCTAGTGGGTCATCAGGCACCAAGAAGGGCCCACACTAGTCTCTGTTTCCCACTATTTCCAGTCCTTTAGCACCCTCTGAAAGCATGCTGGGTGCTGATGCCTGCAGCACCTGAGCTTTCAGGGAGATCTGTCCTGTATCAGTCAGCTTGCCTTGTGCCAAGGGGCAACGGTTCACCTGCTCCAAGGCCAATATACAAACAAGTTACTAAGACATCAGTCTAGCTGTGTGGCAACGTGACTTTAAGACAGACGGGGAAAGGTACTTACAGTCGATGTTATTACTGAGGACTCTGATACACTGCTGGTACAAGGACATCATCTTTGGAAGGTAGGCAGTTTTAGAGCCTGAATACACTTGCATCTTGGAATTCAACCGGCGACCTGTAAAACCTGCTTCGCTCTCTTCAACTGGCGAGGACACTGCTGTAAAGAGAAAGACTTGGAGTAGGAAGGGAACAGAGAAAAGAAGAGTCCACCCTGATGAATGGCACAGGAATTCAGAGAATCAGTCACCCAGAAGCAACCGAAAGGGCCAAGTGTTCTCTAAGAGTCGTGGAATCCAGTTCAGGAAGGGCACATCCAAATCCCAAACCTCAAGGATTTGCTGAGGATCTTCTTCATTTCTGCTAGAGCATACGGGAAGGACACCCCCTTTTTCTGAAACACAGCCTCTGGGCATCAGAGGCAGGACACTAGACCCCAACAGAAAGACCTGAACCCAGCCAGCATCCGCTTCCACTCCCTCCCACACACAGTGGCTGCAGCCCATTTTAAATCCCTTTTCCTGCCCAATATACCTCTCCTTTTCGTCTGGGAGCAGGTAACGGACTCGATTGAAGGAAGAGGGCGGTAGTTGGCCTGGATTGGGGGCAGCGGGATGTCTGGTAATGTTGGTATGACATCTAAAAGGATCTGGAAGACGAGAATGTACATGCAAGTAAGACAAGAATAAGGAGAATGTTACATTCCACCAGTGTACAAACAGCACTGAACTGCATTTTGATACTCTGAATATTGCTCATTTTTCAAGCTTTCACAAAAAAAGGTCTGTCTTCTAGAAGAAGCTGCATTGTAACACCAGTTCTCCCATTTCTCCCCCATTTCTGGAGACCAACAGATTTAGTTAACAAAACTGCAGTACTGATACAGATAAAAAAGGGCAATTTTAGAGAAGCATAAATACTTAAGAGGAGAAACATGGGAACCTCGCTAGCAGGTGGAGATGCAGTGCATGTTAGACAGGGTGCTGAGCTGACTCACAGATACTCTGCATGCTCAAAAAGTGTATCATGACCAATATGCTTCCAGGTGATCCCACCTCCTTTGTTCACTTTAGGATCTTTCCAAACCTTACCCTCTTTGGTTTAGGAGCCTCTGGTGGGTCCTTCTCTGCCACCTTCTCACTTGTTCGCTTGTGGCTTGGACTCTTCTGACTCGAGGTTGAGCTGTTGGCACTGGCTTTGGATCCGTTCTGCTTGCTGTGTGCTCGGTCCTTCTCCCCAGCCGACACAGAGGGTTTGACCACTTTCTTTTTCTTTTTCTGGGGCTGGTCATAGCTGAGGTATGACTCAAAGGACATTGTAGGCTGTTCAAATTCATCCTCCGCTTCCCCGTCCCCAGAATTGGAGGAAAAGCCCACTGACTTTTTGTCCACGTCGGAGGCTTTACGCTTCCTCCCTGAAGATTTTAAGCTCCCAGAAATCCCCTTTTCTTTAATCCTATTTGACGAGTCACTCTCAGCTTTCTGTTTCTCCCGCTCTGTGTTAGAGGTCACCAAGCTCAGCTTGGGCTTTTCCAATTTGCTTTTTTCAGAGTCCCGATGTTTTTGTTTCTTAACGTGGTTGTCCAAGGACTCTTCCAAGTGTGCCGACATGTGCAACTTCTCCTTTCTGGAGGCGCCGCTTTCTCGGTTCTTCTCCTTTTTGGTGCCGTCTGACATCCTCTGCTTCTCCTTGCTGCTCCCTACCATGGGGGCTTCTCGGAGCTGCTCTTTAAAAGAGGTCTTGTGCAATCTCTCTGGGCTGAAGGCAGAGGGCCCGTCGTCCCCCCTGCCATCAAGTCGCTGCTTCTTGTGAGATGACTTGTGCTCTTTGCTTCGACTCATGTTCCCTTTGTCATAGAACTCACTGGGGTTCCTCTCCCGGCTTCCTCCCACCTTCTCCTGAAAGCCGTGGCCTTTACTGGCTTTTCGATGAAACACTGTCGGTTCTTCCTGCTCCTCAGAGCCGTAAGGGTCTGTGTACGCATCCTGAGGGCTCTCACTTGCCTCAGGTGACACAGCTTGTCCATAGTCCGAGTGCTCCTGATCTGAGGAGAGCACTGGGGAAGATCTGCCCCAACCCTTCCCCTCGTGGCTGCTATAGCCGTAAGTCTCGTGGGCTCTCTCAGACCTAGGATACCTTTTGGACTTCTTTTCCCTGTGATCTGGGCTGTAGGACTGGCTGCAAGACGGCTGGAAGGGATCTGAATAGTCCTGGTCAGGTTCCTCATCCTCTCCGAGGGAGGATCCATGATGTCTTTTGTTTGAGCTGCTCCTCTCGTAGTCACGGTCTTCAGAATCGACGTTGTTTCTGAAGGGACAAGAAAATAATACCGTTAGCTTAAAATTTCCCAATTTGAATGAAAAGAGACACTCTCCATGGACCACATGGATGGGAACCTCTCTTACAGAAGACTAAGGTTGTCTTTGGTAGTTTTGTGGCAAGAACACCACTAATTCTCTCAGGCACAGCAACATTCAGGAATTTAGAAACTGCATTTCTAGTGCAGGGATCGATGAGGCATTCTTATTAGGACTCAGGACTTCACAGTTCACGAGGAAGCGGAGACAGATGCACAGAGAGACTTCTCCATGCCTACACACTCCGGGCCGGGTGGTGCCTACGGAAACATGTCCCCCAGTTCAGCACGCAGGGATAGCACAGCCATCGAAATTATCACCACATCTAAATGATCTCATCGCTGGGTTCAGTGCAGCTCTGCGTTACAACATGCTGGCTAGCATCAGCTTTCAGTTTCCATAGGATTCTTGCACATAAAAGGCTTCTTTCAAAGCAAGCCACTTCCTTTACTCGGGCCTAGAACTTCTTCTCTTTAGCATCATAAAACGGGAAGCAAGCAGATTGCATCTCTTGCGTTAATAGAGGCACTTTTCCAGCCTCTACTGTTAATCTCTTCATCAAACTGCAAATTCTTGAAAATCGGTCCCTATTCCCACACAAAACTGCAGATGTCAGCAACCCAGCTCTCTGCAGCTAGCAGAGGCAAAGCCCCCGTGCAGAGTTAGCACACTTGTGTTACAAGTTCTTCCAGAGCCTTGGTCACAGAGGTTTATAATCTCCACTGCAAAAATATAACAAAGCTTATCCATCAAGATAACCGAACAGGTTCACTCACCTGTCTGCCTCCTGGGACAGCGGCACTAGCTTCTTCCACCTGGCTACGAGATTCTTCGCAAAGTCTCCTACAAGCTCGTGTTTCCGTAAACTGTTCACAGTCTTCCCAACACCCGTCTCCTTCACAAAAGAGCCAAGACATAAATTCATCTTAGCAAAGCAGTCAGCATTCTCACCTCTGCCAACCTTCCTACAAAGTTAACCCGCTACCTGTCGCCGCTAGATAGAAATAAACTTCCTTGATCTGAGGGCAAAGATATCACATATAATATGTTTTCAGCGACCATTATATCATTTAATACAGTTCTGTAAATTAAAGACAACTTGACTCTGCCTTAGTCCAACATGAATTATTTGCATTAACAAACCAAGTTAGCATTTACCATGGCTGTTGGTAAGTCAGAAGTCACCAATAATTTTAAGGATTAGCGCTTCCTAATTTCGTGCTGATTCAGTTATCGCTAGGAAGGGCTCCAACTCCCACAGCCCAGTCAAGCGTTAAGCTTTTGGAAGAGCTGAGGATGACAAACCGTCCTCCACAGCTTCGCACTTGCTCTGACACACCCCTTTGTTGTGCGCGGAACCTCCAGAGCCTCATGACAATCGTGCCTGTGACACCAGGCTGTAGCAGGTGGCCGAGGCAAGGCACCCTGTTCCAGGGAAAGCGGCATTTCCGCGGCAAACGGTTATCCTGTGACTTGACAGACACGATGAAAGGGTGAGAGATTTCACAGCTCTTACCACGAGAATGTCAACTGTGATGGGCAACTCAGACAGCCTCTTCAGACTTTTCAGCAGCTGCAGACACAAGAAGGGAAGTGTTCAGACTTGTCATACTGAGCCACATGCTGTGATTAGAAAGGAAAAAGTTCTGCACCGCATGAGAGCTTGTTAGAAAGATCCATGTATCTTAAAAAAACAATAAAAAGCAACAGCTGGCTTTCTGAGAGGCCACCGCACACATACCTTTGCCTAAGTGTCAGTTGACCAAGTGTTTACACCTGCACGTTCATTAGAAACCTTAACACAGTTTCAGTTCAGCAGACTTCCCAACCAAGTAATAAAAATCTCAAAATGACGCTGTCAGGAAACCAGGCATTTTCGTTACCTGCGTTGTCAGGAATGCACTTATCTGACAATCTAAGATCTCAAAACCTCTGCTTATTGCCGCTGTCCAAGTGGCATGCAGCCCGGCAATATCCGAGTAGGGACACATTTGGGAGCTGTGTCTGTACAGAACAGCAAAACCTCACTTTGCTCACAACCTCCCTGGACCACAGACACACCAAGTGAGACACCTCCGATGCGGTGAGGCTTCAGAGCGTGCGCTGATCTGTACTGCCTATGGAAACAAGCTGATGGGGTACACCCCGCTGCCTCCAGCTGAAATCAGCCAAGCACGCTCAAACCTGGCAGCTCAAATGAGAAGTAACCGAGATCCTACAAGTCCTGTGGTCAGGGGACCTTTCTGCTGGGGAAGAGAAAAGGTTTAAAGTCACTGTCCTGGCTACTAACAGCTTGGGAGTGTTTACCACCTCTCCCACCCCTTGCAAACACATCAACTGAGAGAGAAATGACTTAACACCACAAGGTTACTGGAGAGTCAGCCCGTGCAAACAGCGCCCAAAGACTGACAATGCCCGAGAAACGCAGACAAGCAGTTACTGCCCCAAGCTGACACAAGGGTCAGGAACCAGGAGCACCAACTGTCTGTGCGCAGCACACTCAGACAATATTTGAAGTCTTGCGCGTGCTCTCAGAGCACCACGGGGCCCGAGATGCCCTGGAACTGACTCCTCCGCAGTCCCTCAGCTCCATTTTGGGGCCTCACAGGTTAAACCCTGCTCTGGTCTTGGCTGAGAGGGTGAGAAAAGGAACCAGACCCCCATCGCTTTGCCCCCAGGCAGGCTGGAGCCGAGGGTCAGCACTTGGAACGCTTCAGTATCCATCCTTCTTGGAGGTGTCGGAAAGCGAGCGGTTCTGCAGGCGTTTTCCTCAGTTAAACAAAATTACCTAAGTGCAGAGTGGCTGCACGGCCGTCACTGCCTCGTCTTTGCCTTGAATTAAGTGAAACATGAACCCAACACCTGTGAATAGTCACAGCAGATGCTCCCCCTATAAAGTACAACACGACAAGTCTGCAGTGGGACAACACCTGAGCTCAACCCTAACTCCAAACTTCAGTCGAAAAAGCAGCTCAGAGCCCTGGTGCCCAGCGGGAGAGCTCCTGTCACAACAGACGCAGCCGAATGTCACCAAACAGATCCAAGCACAGGCAGCGATGGGGACAGCGTGCTCCCGGCAGCAGCTCTGCCACAGCTGCTGCGGGCAGGAGACACGTTCCCTCCTGGAGATGGACGAGAGGCATCGAGCAACGTCCCCAAGGCCAGACGGGGGGCACCCGTGCCAGGGGCTGAGTCAAAACCCCGCACAAATGCTGGCGATCGCGGCGGCCTTGCCCGGTCCCAGCACAGGGCTATGCCTCCCCGTCGCCCCACGCTGAGGGCCGCGGCTCTTCCACCATGAACACGTCACCAGGGCAAGACTCTTCCGGCAAG